TCCTATCTATACATTTTCATTTTGTTTTCACCGTCTCCTTCTCTGCAAATTGTTTCTCTCACTCAAGCCGACGTGGACATTCATCCTGAAAATGTAATGATCATAAAAACCAATACAAACTCTCTCTCCTCTCTTTATCATGCTGCTAATGAGGATGTATGTAGCGATTTAGCGCAGATACAGTCAATCCAATTTACAGCAGAGTCAGAGGAGGAACACGCTAAGGACACGTCAAACAATTGTTAATAATGGAGGTGTTTTCCTGTAAATTAGCTCATTTATCTTTTCTGATTCATCTTTAGTGTGTGTTTGTGTGGGTCCAGTGTTTATCATTTGCTGCAATCACTGTGGTAAAATGAACAGGGATTTTTCTGGGTGAGAAACCAGTCCATCTCATTTAAAATTATTTATGGGGAACATGAAAATTCATTATCTATCATTTAATCATCAATAAAGAGAGTTTAGGTTGTTATACTTTTTCTTTCTGGTGTATAAAAATGGGCAAATGTTGGTGACATTTGGAAAACTGATGTGACGTTAACATAATAAAAAGGTTTCAGAGGAGAATAATCAGGGCAGGATTAGCCTGATTTGCCGTCCTTTGGGCAAACATTTGCAGCCCCCTCCTGATGAGCTCATCGTTTATGTAACCTATCACCTCAAAGTTTTCACTGAGTGGAAAGAAAAAAAAAGTTATTAAAAGTTGAAAATGATTTCTCCAGAAACCAACCGCTATTCCTGTGGTGTTACAGTAGCTACCAGGCCCGAGGCTGTTTCGGCTGACAGTTAGCTTTATTAAACACAACTTAATATAGAAAGATCCACCATGTGAGCACCATGATTAAACACACAGTTCTTCATGTTGATCTCAAAACTAGGTTTTTGCACAGGGCCAGAGGTGTAGAGAGCAAATGAAGCCGCGTTGGAAACATTCATTCAGAGGAAAAGCTGCAGCGCAGGCAGAGGTCAAGCTAGGCTAACAGGCTAGGCTACGAAAACGTAGCTAAGCTAGCATTCATTTCCAGCAGCAAGTGTAACAGGCCGACTTTCTCATGTTTGTGTGCGGATGCATCACAGATAAAGAAACTGTCAGAAGAGTGAAAGATGAATGAAAGGATGTTTTTTTTCTCTCTGTGTTTTCAGCTCAGAGGCTACCGGCAGCTACCGGGAACTTGTTCTCTTGCATGTTACTCAAAGCACGATTGATGCTTGGAAATCAATCAATACGCCTTTTGTCAAAATGACAACTTTGACCATTTCTGTTGTCATCAAACAAACACCAACCCCTCATGCACAAGCACACAGGAGCCCAGCAGGACCTGGTGAAACACGATGCAGCCATCATTTGCAATCTGCATCTCTCGCTTTTGTAAACCAGGCAGCTGTGAAACATCATCTGACACTTTCCAGAGCTGTAAAATCCAGCAGCCATCTGACACTGGTTGGCAGCTTTGACGAGAGGACTCGCACTTGTTTTCACTCTTGCCGTCACGACGTGCAAGTATGACCTGCAAGCTGAGCGCAGGAGAAGAGGAGTTTGAAGTGAAACGAGGACAGCATGCATTAAATATCATAAACCTGATAATGTTAAACAGTCTAACAGTCTCCCGCTGTGAATCCTCTCTTTAGTATAATGAAAAAAGAAGCTATCCTGGAGGCTGCTACCGCTAACGCTGAAAACTTTCATTCCCATGTTGATAATTAAGCTGCTCTGAACTTTGCATATCCTGTGTTACTTCATCAGTGGATCTCTCGGGTGGAGAGGGGTCCAAGGATGGGTGACAAAATTATATTCTGTTCAAGTATGAACACAGCCAGCGGGGCTTTTTGGGCGAATGTATGACACTGAGAAATGAGATTACAGGATTTCATTTTGTGTCATGCTGTGAGATCAAATTTGATTGGCTAACAACTTTTTTTTTTTTTTTAATTAGTTTGAACATGTAATTTAAGAATCTCCTCTCAATTTTAAGTCCAAAAGTCTAAATCCAGTGTGAAAACCGTGAGTTAATTAGTTACAAATCTACACTTGAAATGCAAAAACATTATATAATGAGTTGGAGCGGAGCGGCGGTATGCCTGCTACTCCGATTTATAACATTTACTGCCTGCAACTGCTCAGTAGAATAATTTGATTAAAATGTGAAACAGTGTGTCCTGACATTCCATCACAACATTAACACTTTATTATACAGTAGGATATAAAGGGCACTGCAGTTACTATCAGATGTCTGGAACTGATAATCACTTCATATTTAATCTGTTTGATTACATAATCGGTGTCTCTGCGAGTGATAAGGGCACGGCTGGTTCACTCTACATCCCAGACACACACACATGCACACACACACACACACAGGCACATGTATATGCACACAGCAGGGCTGATAAGGACTTAGGACTGAGAAACTTTAATATTTTATATATAGTGTATATGTCAATGGCACTCAGCCCTGAGCTCAATGATTTCCTAAAACAGCGGCTCACTGCAGTTTTTAGCAAATGTTCTCAAACGTTTTCACATCACGGATCCTTAAACTGACACAAATTAGACCAATGACCCCAATCTGCTAAGATTTTGTCCCAGGATCCCCCATCTGATAAGATTTTTACTTTTACAGAAAGTGCTTGAAACCCATGATCAAGACAGATGCCCCCCCCCCGGTGGGAACCCCTGGGTCCCTGGACCCACTTTGAGAACCACTGCATTAACCAAAGAAGAGGAAACAGTGCATTTTTGTGGGACTATTTTCCAACAGCAGGAGACTGTATGCCGGCTTCAGTGAAAATAAACTACTGTGTGTGTGTGTGTGTGTGTGTGTGTGTGTGTGTGTGTGTGTGTGTGTGTGTGTGTGTGTGTGTGTGTGTGTGTGTTCATGGTAATGAAGGAAAGTGTCACCATGTGGCTCACTGATGTGTTTTTAATGCAGCTCTATGGCACAGAGGAATAAGATACTTGGATTAATAATAATCACTTATTGATAAGAATTAATAAGAAAAATACAGAGCACTGTGTGAACAAACGTTGCACCTTCATTCATTACAATAAGAGATGCTGATCAGATGCTGATTCTGGTGAAAACATTTTTTTCTCGACTTTTACTGCAAATTCACACAATGTCGATGGATCTGATCATGTTGAACGGCCAAATGCATGTGAGCGCACACTCCTGATGGAGTCAACTGTAATGTGCATGTGTAATCTACTGATTACCTTGCGGCTGCCGAGATGGAGAACAAAATGCAAAAATCGGTAAAATTGGCCAAAAACACTGAGCACCGAATTAGTCATTGTCACCGTGTACGAGCCAATTAAGGGGACTGGGACAAAATGTGCACAAACCCCAATATACATGTCTGCAGGAGCTCGACAGGGTCTTGGATAATGTCTGAGAGGAAATCAATTTGTATTTTAAAAGCTTGGAACGTAGTGAGCATAAAAACGGACAGAGAAGATGCAGGAGTCGAAGACTTAATAATAATTAATATTCAAAACAAACTCTTAAAGTTTATTCTGAGCCGCTGCCCAGATGTGCATTGAGACACGTATTATTGACTTGCTTCCTGCGTGTGTGTGTGTGTGTGTGTGTGTGTGTGTGTGTGTGTGTGTGTGTGTGTGTGTGTGTGTGTGTGTGTGTGTGCAGCCGTCAGCTCATTATTCATTCATGGCTGACAGTTGTAATATTCTACTCGAATGCTCCAAACGCTGTTTGTTTCTCACTGAGACGAAGGCTGTAATTTCGAGCCTTAATCCGCCTCCCTCCCTGTAAATAATGCCTCTGTTAATAATTCATGGATTAATCAACACATGTGATTATGACTAAGAGGAAAGAGAGCGAGAGGAAGTGACACTGAGCACCACCAGGACAGACACGCGCACATATAGGCTACACACACACACACACACACACACACACACACACACACACACACACACACACAAACACACACACTTTGGGCGAAAAACATTGAGACATCCAAATTTGCTTGTGACATGATTTCATTTATGTTACATAAGCAAAAGGAAAATACATTGGGAGACGACACAAAACCACTTTTTCAATCAAACAAAGGGAAACAGCAGCTGCAGAAACATCTAGACAACTCAAAACACTCAAACTCTTTTACACGTCCCTCATAAAACAGTGAAATATCCCTTTAATGGCTTTCATAACAATCCCAGCACTGAGCAAAGAGTAAATAAAGGTAAAGGAATGAAAAAAAAAAACCATCAGTTCTTAATTGCATAAAATTGTTCCACAAATCTTTAACACTGTGTCAAATCCTCCGATATCAGGCATGAAAACAGGGTCAGGAGAAAATGTTTAGCGCCTTTCTTCAACCCAATTATCATTGGGTTCAAAGAAGGGAATAATCCTACTAACAGCAGCTACACACTCGAGCTGACAAAGTATCCCATTGCCCTGCTTTCAGAATAAATAAATAAAAATCAGTGAATTAAACAAAAAAAAAAATCGCCAAACAAGTTCATGAAATCTCACCAAAGAACACTGTGCTTCTCCAAAATGTTCCTGAATTATTCCTCTGATTAAGAAATCACATTATTTAGCTGTGTAACAAAGATACTTCATCAATAAAATTAAAAAATGAAAGAAAGAGGAAATGATCCTGACCTATTTATGGTTTTTTTTTTAATTACTGGGGGCGGAGTAAATGCAATTTCACGTCCTCCTCTCCACGCGGTTCGTCTGAATCAGTAAAGTGCAATCGTGCTTATTTCCGTGTCTGTTGCTAACATGCTAATACCGGCCCAATGAACATGCTAATTCTTGACTCGTAGCTACCCCCCCCCCCCCTTTTACATTAGACATTCATTAACAAATCTTCCAAAAATATACACATCTGAATCCACACAAATAAAGGGATTTCTTTTATTTATTCCAAAAACACCTAATTTTCCAAAAGCTATAATAAATGTATTTTCCTCTTCAAACGTGATTTTGTCCTTTTTTTTTTTTTTTTTTAAATTTGATGTTTTGCAACCAGACCTCTCCCAGCATGAGTAATCACTTCGGTGATTGCCCACAATGCAACTTACTTTCAAGCTTGTAAACGCAGGCATTCATTTTTCCAAACAGCAGATGTCTCATTTTGTAATCAGCCTCTTCGTGTTGGCTCTGCGTGGGCGTTGTTCTGACCCCGAAGCTCTCAACTTTTCCTACAATATAAGCTAAATCTAATCATCCTGGTTCCCTAAACCAGGAAGAAACTACACAAACTAATGCAAGTTTGTTACATTTTTTTTTTTCATCGTGGATCCCTCGTGGCCACCTTGTTTTTTTTTAGGCGGAGGTAAGTGAGCTTTAATGCGACTTTTGTGCTCTTGTGCACACGATTGATGTGAATACAGCGAGTACATTCTAATGGCAGGAGTCTGTAATGTCAACGCGAAGCATTACAGTGTGTTTAGCCCTCGTCTTCATATCTTCCTTCTGCTTTGTATACAGTGCCGCTGGTGAGCAGGATGAGACTGGTATTTTGTGTGTGTCCCTGTGGCCGACTGCACAGGGCGATGATAACGTGCTCTGGGATTAAAAAGTCCCAGCTTGTATTTAAGACTCCCACTGAGCTCACTTTGTGCTCGCTCTTTTCTACCATTAAGAGGATTTGTTTCTTAATTGGAGACCCCGCGCCCCTGCTCGTCACTCCCCCTCTAAACGTTCAGCTCCTGCTGCCCCGTCGCTCCTCTCCTCTCATTCCCTGTAGTGAGCCACCAGAATCAGTTTAGGTTTGGGGTTGCTAGCAGCTGGGGGGTTGTGGGATGCAGCAGAGCCTTGACTGGCTGAGTTGGGCGTGGGCAGGGCTGAGGAGGGGGCCGGAGCAGACACCTGGTGGTCTTTCTCCTGGCGGACGGTGCGGAGTGTCTTGGTCACCCGTGAAAATGTCTTTAAGGTGGAGCCTCGCTCTGGGATGGAACAACTGAGGAATGCCCTGAAACACCTGTAGAACTACACACACACACACACACACATGCACAATTCGTATCAGTTAGCACTGTAGTAATAACGGCAGAGACAATACTAGTAATGGCCAAGCTGGTCATCACATGACTTCGTTGTAAAAGTAGATATGGTTTAACCAGGACTCAACATGAGTGCAGATGCTTCATTCAATAAAGACACATCAGCTGTTAATTAGATTCGTTTATTAGAGCAGAATCCAATAGAACGCAGCCGATGTGAGATCGCAGGTGCGGTCCGGAGTATTTGGCGGCCTTCCAGTGCTGAAGAGATAAAAGTGAGAGACTGAACAGGTGAGATGGATAACACGTCGATCAGCTGAGACTGGTTGATACAAATGTCCCAGTCAAATCAATAACTGATTAGAAATTGACAGGTGGAACCTTAGCATGATCATTATCCAATACTAGTGCAGTGGTTATCAAACCTTCTCTGTCATAGTAGTAGATGTAGTAGTAGTAGTAGTATTCCTATCAGTAGACGTAGTAGTATTAGTTTAGTCTTCAACTGTTGCTGCTTAAGGCCCCAACCACTGCTACTACTAGAGGTTGTACTTGTAGTATTGGGACAAGTAAGTAGTACAGAAGTAGAACTACTATCACTCGTCATAGTGAGAGGTTAGTAATAGAAGACTTAATACTAATACTTTTAGTAGAAGTATTAGTAAAAGCAGTTGTAACATATTGATTATTACAGTGCATATACAGTTCTAGTGGCGGTAAATGTTAGACAGACAAATACAAACACGTAGGTTTCATTTGGATCCCGTTGCAGATCCCTCCTCCGCGTCCGGACTCCGGCAGGCAGCGCGCTCCCCTGGATAAACGTAGTGTACTTAGTATACTCTCCAGTTCCACACGTATACTTAAAGTCTACTACATTTCCCCAGGGCGCCGCAGATCAAACAGGCGTGCTGCGCAAAACACCTCGGTGCGCCTTATTACATCACCACAGCGAGTATATACCCCCCACCCCCACCCCACCCCCCCCAGCAAACATTTTTATCCTTTTGAAAAAAGTGACACCCAGTGACTGATATGACAAATGAGAGCAGTTTGTGGTGCTTTTTAACTGAGATACTTAAGCAGCTGGCTGACAATTCATCATATAGGAGCCAATTAATTTCTGTTACCCCGAGGAGATTGTGCAGCTCTCGAAATTAGCTCTCCCCTTTTAAATCTTCCAGTGTCTCAAATCCCAATGTATTAATCTATTGGAGAGCTGGGCTTGGGAGGAAAAAAAAGAAAAAAAAAAGCTGTTGGTTTAAAAGCAAAACCCCAAGGGAAACAGAAGGGATAGATGTGCAAAGTGGGGGTGGGAGGTGTGAAGGAGAAAGGGATGTCTGAGGTGAAACGGAGGAGAAAAAAAAGAAAACAGAGGGATGGAGGAACAGGACAAACTGATGTCATGAGGGATTACAGCTAAAGTCAGACACAGATTGGATCTTAAGACTGAGGAGTGACCAAATCCTCACCTGCCGCTGCAAATCAGTGTGTGTGTGTGTGTGTGTGTGTGAGATATGTGATAAAACAGTGAAATGTTTGTGTTGTGTAATAATATGTGCATATATAATACATTTTTTAATCTCACACAAACGTTAGGAATTCTTGAGAAAAGTTGCTATATATTGGAAAAAGGGAAAATTTAATAAAAGCTGCCGACAGGCCCCCCCCCCCCCCAGTACAACTGTGAATACAAACTGTTTCTCCTTTTAATGTAGAAGTTTTTCAAGTCATGCTGCAACTCAGTGTTACAGGCCTTGAATCCACCAGAAAGACCAAACAACACAGAACAAAGAACAAAAGGAGCGAGAGGCATCAGGGATACAACGCGATGTCAACATCTCCTCTATCTGACAGAAACACCACCGAGAAGTTACACATGGTGGGACTGAAACCTGCATGATTTAAACTCATTGCCTTTAAATTTGAGCTCTGTCAGGCCAAGAGAAAAGAGGAAATACTTTAAAAGAGAAGAATTATATATATATATATTAAAAAAAAAGATATGACATATGTATGCTCCCCAAAGCTAGGTTTATTTGTTAGATTTTCCTCTATTTTTTGGGGCATTTTTCTGGTGAATTACTGGACAATTTCACCTCTTCAAGCCTCTAAAAATAAAATAAAGGAAAAGCTCACTGGCTCTTTGGTTGCAATGGTTGCAGCAAAGCAGACATGACTTCATTTTAAAGCTGTCACAAGCCATAAAAGTTGTGAAACACAGTTTCACAGGATGATCATGATGGGAAAGTCTGGGGGCACATACATACTTTTTAAAAGAATAAAATGAATAAATAAATAAAATTAAACGGTTGAATTTATGTAACTTTCTAATCAGTATCTGCAAAGCGACTGGTAACTATAGCTACCAGATAAACGTGGCGGAGTAGGAATATAAAGTAGCATAAAATAGAAATACTCAAGTAAGTTGTACGTAAGTGAAGTAATGGAGTAAATGTACTTTGCTACTTTACACCCCTGACTTTGTCACACCCACATGAATATAGTCACATGAAAGGTAACTGATGGAAACATGCAATGATTCACATTTTTAACATATTAACCATTCGAAGAAAAACCAGTTTAAATCTGATATATTGTGCAGAAAAATGACTGTGACGGTGTAAATGTTGAGCTCAGTTTCCAGGGCGTGAATCTGCGCAGCGCTTGAAGTCTTCAACTCGCCTCAACACACTGCTGCCATAGTTATGGGCTGGGAGGAACTGAAGACTGAAAGCGCCACACAGCGCGGCCTCCGGAGCGTTTATCTGTGGGCCCCTCAAAGTTCATTTAGCAGCTTAATCATCACATACACATGCAACCCCCCCACCACCACCCCAAAAAGAAAAACTTCACTCTGGCACTACAAGACACAGCGCTGTCGTAACAAGTCAGACATCAAAAGAGAGTTAAATGTCTCACAAGCTCAAAAGTGACAGACAAGCAGTCCAACAGGAAAAGCAGACCCGAGGTAGAGGCAGATAAAAAGAGACACAGACAGATAAAAGAGTGGGTGAATGTTCGAGAGAAGAAGGAAAGGTCACCGCCACGCTGTGCTGTTCCCTGATAGTAGCATCACATGCTAATCAAAATCAAAGCTACGTCACCTTTTGGAGATGAAAAGGAAGTTTCTCCCTCCTCCTCCCACCCGGCGACTTTCTTTTTCCTACCTGTCTTTTCATCTTTGTGTCCTTCCCTCAGTTCCTTTTTTCAGTCATGACCACTTTTACTAGATTTCTGTTTTCCTTTTTAAATCTTCCTTCAATCCCTGTCAAATTTCCCTTTCCTGGTTTCTTTACTACTTCTCCCTCCTACTTTCCCTCCTCTGTTTTTTTCTCTCTTTACATATTTTTCTTCTTTTTCCTTCCCCCTATATTTTCTTTTTACACCCATCTCCCCTTGCATCTTTTTTGTCCCTCCTCTCTTCCAACCTCCTTTCCTTTCTTTCTTTTTCTGTTTCCCTTCACTTTCTCCTGTCTCCTTTCCTTCCTTCCTCACTCCATCCTCTTTACCTTTTACTCTTGAATTTACTTCTTCCTCCTTTTTTCCTTCAAACGTTTATCGTTGCTTCTTGTCTTCTTCTTTCCTTCCTTTCTCGCCAATAACAATTTAACACTAACAAAACACTTATGGGACACTATGATAGCTGAATAAAACACAGAGTAACATGGTACACTAAGGTCTTGCAACAATACAAATGGATGGTGTTGGATGTTCTTGTCCGGTTCCTGTGGTCGTGGATGTAGTTCACCACCTGCAACTGCCTCTGTTTAAAAGTCAAACGGGTGAGTGGACAGCGACGACTGCAGAGAAGACGTAATCTAATAAGCTTTCCTGTGGCATGAGCACGGGGACACGTCTCCTCTGTCGCTGTCTTATATAACTCATTCCTGTGAGTGTTTTTAAAGAGCAAGAATGAGAGCTGATAAAACTTCACGTTCTTTCAGATGAGGCCAACTAACATCGTCTGTGCAGGTAAAAGTTGATAAGGCGAAATAAAAGTTAAAAAAAAAAGCAAGATTGTAAAGGCTTTGTTTTCCTTTTTATAGAGGAAAAAGGTTTCTGCATGACAAATGTACAAAGTAGAGAGGAGTCACGCAAAAGCTGTCCTCGTGTTTGTTTACAGTTATTATACTAATCTACTAATGACTGTGGTAATGATTTATTGACGGTTGAATGCGGCACAAAAGCAGACTGAAGTTTGCTCTGCTGTCGTCAGGAAGGCCAGTGGCATAGATTACTTCCTCTTTCATGAGTGCTTTGTTTTTTTCTTTCCGTGCTGTGTCCTTGGATGACAGTGATGACTATCACGACCTCAGTGGGTGGGAGGAGGGCTTGTTATGCGTTGACGCTGATATGACTTTGACGGCATGACAATAATGTCACGCCCTTGTCTTTTATCTGCACGTTTGTGTGTCTGTGTGTGTCTTAGTGTGATTGCGTGTGTGTTTGAAGCTGGATAGGTGGAGTGTGTGTTCTGTCTGAAAGGTGTAAATGAGGAGCCAGCAGACGGAGAGTGGAGGTCTGCTCGCACCTACATTAACATCCCCAGGGTGTGAATCTCATATAACTTCAATTACTTGCCTGGGTGTCTAACTCTTTGACTGAATAAGGGAGAATAGATAATTAGACTGTAAGACACAGAACACCTGACTCTACTTTACTCTAGTTTTGTTTAGTTTTTAGCATTTCTAAGTAATAAATAACATATAATAAATACTTTATAACACACTATAATGTAGTTTTAAGCAGATATTGCAAAATCTTTAAAGGAGCTATTTTAATTTTTTGTTATTGCTACACAGCCAATGTTAGCAGTAATAGCTGTTTACTTATCAGTCTTGCCAAGAGTTTCCATCATTTACACTATAAGATTTTATAATACGCCCTCTGAGAAGCGCTATGTCTTCAGGGCAGACTGGACGCTACAGTGACTCGGTATCGGAAAGTAACAAGAACAAGGTTAGCGTGCTAACTTCAGTAGAAGAAAAGAAAGGATAGAAAATTGAAGCTAAACAAGAGGGTTGCTTCCACCGCTGCAGACAGCTCTTGACAAGTAAAGCAATGAAGTTTGATGCTGAATTCACAACGTTTCTTCTAAACTGGTAAGTAAACAGCTGTTAGTGCTAATATTCGCTATGTAGCCATAGCAAAACTTACAAAGCACTCCTTCAAGTGTTTATTAATGTACAGTGTTTGTCAATTATAACTTTATTTTATTTTATTACAACAGTATTTTAGCCTTTTGTCATTCATTTTTATACACAGCCCCAACCTATGGGTGGCCATTGGAGTTTTAGTTGTTGACAAATGCCTTAATAAACACTTATATTTTCTGATAACTACATTATACTGTGTTAATTATGCATGAATTATAAAATGAATGCACCTCTGTGCCATCTGAGGAAGAAATAGGTCCCATCGTAGCTTTCTGTGCCGATTGTGTCGGCCATGTTGATGAGCAGTGCAGTGTAAAAGTTGTTGTCTGGCGGCTGTCCAGTTTAGCTAACTATCTCCGGCTCATGCTGATTCCACTGTGGACTGGACAAAGTTTGGCATTACTGATAAAGTTGGCGAGACAGTATTTGTGGATCCCCGGCACATCTGTCCTCCGCTGAGCAGGTGTTTCATGCAGCTGTGCTAACGTTAGCTACAGTAAACAATGCACACATCTCCCAACTGTCCAGACCACAGCAACTGAAGCAGACACAATCTAACTTGGTCTGATCAGTTGTCATAGCCAAAACATGACTGTGTGTGTCTGCCCTGTAATTAGATACCAAGATTTAAGGAACACACGACATTATGATGGATTTATATTTACATACACAGAGGTGACTTTGCTGGCTGTCATCTCTCTCATCCTGAATGTATTACAATGAGAAGGTGGAAGGTGGTGGAAGAAGAATCAGGCGGTAAGACAAGAACACCTCACCTGTTTGTTCATGAATATATAGATAAAAGGGTTGATGACGGTGGAGAACTTGGCCAGCAGCGATGGCGTGATGCTCGCCTCTGGAGTTAAAAGGTCAGGTGGCCCAAAGGTCGAGAGCAGAGCTGCGACCCCGTATGGCAGCCAGCAAACCAGGTAGCACACCACCATGGTGATGACCATCACCAGCACCCGCTGCTCTCTGCGACGGGTCACCACCGAACTCACGCTGCGGACCTGGTAGGAAGAGAGAAAAACTTTATTGGTGCATTGGAACAAACAAAAATAAACTAAAGGGACGATGAGAAAAACAATGTTGGTACAAGTTTCAGCAATTTATAGAGCCCTACTTCTTCTCTGTCACTGTTCTGTACCTACGGCCAGTTTATATACAACTCCGAACAAACTGCTCCCCAGCTATAGCGCACACACCAAGCCAAAAACACAGGCTCTGTTGTGCTTGCAGAGAAGACAGCAACAAATTCGATTAATCAATTAGTCAGTCGACAGAAAACTTATTTAAGACTGATTTAATGCTGTTTTTTGTCATATGTGATTGTGTATATGATTGTATTCTGACAATATTTGAGGTGACTCAGTGTTTTAGAAAACCAATAAAAGGCATCAACACTTAATCATGAGCTGTAGAAAGCAGTAGCTGTGTATGCATGACAATAATATAGTTTTTTACCTTAATAACAGAATCAGTGAAGTTGAAATAACAAGGGAGACATCCCTGTGTTCCTGAATAAATTTGATTTGTCTTTTACTCATATAAAACCCATCAATAAAAAAAGTATTCATCTATTTTATAGCACACCCTCTCAGGTTTGGGGGGGAAAGCACATACTGTAATTTACTGTAATTCAACACCTAAGTGAGCAAAGGTGAGGTGAGTCATCACATCGCCATCATGAGTGAAAATAGTAGTCCAGCCTGCAAAACCTGGATTATGAAACAGTCTGCAGTCTGGAGCACTTCCTTTGTGGAACTCAAGCACAACCAAGCACCTGAGTGACAGCAAGAAAGATAGATCAGTGACTCTATTGATAGATTTCCCCCGACAACTGAACTAAATCTAAATATAAATTTTCATTGCCAGGCGCTGCACAGGCTGAACTGACATTTAAACCCACACAATCTCCCATTCATACGTATGGCAACACCATTTTAAAGTCAAAAATAAACCAAACCGAGAGATGATAGAGGAAGAATGAGAAATATGCTTTGATTTTGGGGCCACGTAGATTACTTTATGTTAATCGTTTGAACTTGTGCATCAGTAGCAAACTCCAAGCCAGGAGTTAGGAGAAGAGACATACTCAGCGCCAACTCTCTTCCAGGGAAAGTAGCCGACNACCATTTTAAAGTCAAAAATAAACCAAACCGAGAGATGATAGAGGAAGAATGAGAAATATGCTTTGATTTTGGGGCCACGTAGATTAGTTTATGTTATGTTAATCGTTTGAACTTGTGCATCAGTAGCAAACTCCAAGCCAGGAGTTAGGAGAAGAGACATACTCAGCGCCACCGATGCCAACTCTCTTCCAGGGAAAGTAGCCCATTCATGCAAATGTACAATATCAAGCTATGTACTGTATCCATGTGTGTTTTCCTCGTGGACCAAAAGTAAAACTTGCCAAATATTCACATTCGCATTCACATTTGGTGTCTGTACTATTATTTTCCAGTACAAATACCCGAAACATGGCCTGAACAATCCACTGCAGAATTAGTCGTCTTTACCT